AAATTCTTGAATTCTTTTATAGTCAATCTCCAACTCCAGCCCTTAGGCAATCACTGATCTGCTTTCTGACTCCATAAAATTGTCTTTTCTGGACATTTCATGTAAATGGAATCGTATGATATGTATGTAGTCTTGTGTGTGACTTCTTTCATTTAGCATAATGTTTTTCAAGTTTGTCCATGTTGTTGTAAGTATCACTACATCATTACTTTTTATTGCTGAATGGTATTCCCTTATATAGATGTACCACATTTTATTAATCCATTTACCAGATGATGGATATTCAGACTGTTTTCAGTTTGGCTATTATGAATAATGCTGTTATGAACATTTGCATACAGTCTTATGTGGATATATGTTTTAATTTCTCTTGAGTAGATTTCTAGGAGTGGAATTGCTGGGGTTTATGGTAAGCTCATGCTGCACTTTTAAAGAACTTGCCAACTATTTTCCAAAGTTTCTTGGTATTAGTGACCTTTTTTATTGTAGTAAGTGTGTAGTGCTGTCTCATTGTGGCTTTAATTTTTTTAATCCTCACCCGAGGATATGTTTTTACTGATTTTAGAGAGAGAGGAAGAGAGAAACATCAATCGGTTCCCTCCTTTACACTCCTGACCGGGGATTGAACCCACAACCTAGGTATATGCTGTGACTGGGAATTGAACCCACAGCCTTTTGGTGTACTGGACAACGCTCCAACCAACCTGAGCCACCTGGCCAGGGTTCAGCGTGGGTTAAATTTTGTTTTTCCCTAATAATTAACAATTTGGAGTACCTTGCATGTGCTTATTATTAGCCATTTATATTTCTTTGTTGAGACGCCTGTTCAAGTCTTTTTATTTGGTTTGTCGTCTTATTATTGAGTTGTAAGAGTTTTTTAGATGCAGGTTCTTTGTCAGGTTTACAATTTGTAAATATTTTTTCTGTTGTCAGATTTTGCAAGACAAGTTTTTCCTCCTTGCCCCAATAAAACAAAACTATGTGCTAAGTTTGGATAAACTCTGCATAACTATCATATGAAAGAGAATGTGAAAACAGGCATTGACTGTCTCTGTTCAGGCCTAGTGATTGCTCCAAGGAAGACTGACAGGTTTATAGTGGCTTTGTCTTTGGCTGACACAGCCTTCTCCAGATACTTAGTGACAGGCATGTTTGGGCAAGAAAGCTCTTCATGTAGTTAAGACACCACTGTATGCTGCTTTCTGCATGTCCTAAGGGATGTGGTATGGTAGAGGATCAGCCATGTTCATTGGCTTATTTTTTCCACTTAAGACACTGTAGCTTCTATGTAAGCCATTTCCACGTTTAATACAGCCTGTCCTTTGAATCCCACTTTAAGTGCTACTTTCTCCATAAAGCCTTGCCTGGTGCACTTATTTGGGAATAGACTTATAATGTCCACTGAACTCCCAAGCACATGCTTTTGTCTCTGCGGCGACACTTTGTGCATGTTAGCTTATGGTGAGCAGGTGGGATGACCCGTGCAGTTCTCTGAGAACAAGGACCCTGCCATACTTCTTCATATTCTTTTATACTCTGCACAAAGCAAATGCCCAGTAAGAATTTGGTAAAGGGATAAATTTAAAAGTAAACTTATCTTCAGCCTTCTTGAATTGGAGAGCCTACTCTGTTGGGATTTTTTTCCTATGGACAAAGGAAATAAACTTTGTTCAGACTTTTGCTAGGTTTTTATTACCTTTGCTTTTCTAGAGTGGTATGAAAAATTAATACTTAAGCTACATATCTGATCTTCATTCAGCAAGAGAGGACCTCTTACAAGTTTAATGGGTTGGTCAAGTGGATATTAAATGTAAATCTGTCATTTTATGGAGCCATAGAAGGCTCTTAAAACACTCAATAAATATCCTTATTGAATTAGCAGGATATTTCAATGGGCCTGCCTGTGTATCTCCCACTATTAGGCTCTTTCATTGTTCCTCTAGGGCGCCATTAGCCTATGCTTTCACAGGCTTTGTGGTGCCATGTGGACCACAGAGTCATGTTGGCTGAAGATGCTTCTAGCTTCTTAGTTCTGTTATTTCGTTACAGGTACAGGGAACTCGTACATTAATTCGAGCAGGTGTGTCTTAATTTCAGAGTAACAAGTAGGGGGTCCCCATGAAAAGAGCGCTAACATGAACTAAACACTGATTATGTGCCAGGCCTTGTATAAAGCATTTAGTTAGTAGTAGTTTATTTCATCCCATTTGCAGGTGAGGAAACCAAGCTCAAGGAGATTTAAGCTATTGCCCTAGGCTATATAGCTATTAATTGGGAAGCTGGGTTTTAAATCTAAATGTGTTAGATTTCAAAGTTTACTGTTATTTTTAAAATAATTTTTAAGATTTTCAGTTACAGTTGACATACCATATTATATTAGTTTCAGGTGTACAATGTAGTGATTAGACATTTATATAATTTATGAAGTCACCGTCCCAGTAAGTGTAGGACCCATCTGACACCATGCATAGTTATAGTACTACTCCCTGTCATCCCTGTGCCATGCTTTCCCCACCCCGTGACTGCAGTTGTAACTGACAGTTTGTGTCTTAATCTCTTTCCATTTTTGCCCATCCTCCTCACTCCTGTCCTGTCTGGCAACCATCAAGATTTCAAAGTTTATGATATTTCTACTTTGTACATGTCTTTTACTTACTTATTTTTAATTGCATACTTATTTTTTTTACATTTTACTTGTATGTTTGATTTTTCTTTGGTTAGCAACAAATATTTCCCTATTTTCTCCCCTCTCCAGCACTTTACTGAGGTAATAATTCTGTATTATATTTCTATAATCCTGTGTAACAGTTTCATATTCATTCTCATTTGATCTTACTGAGACCCCAGTGTGGTCTGTGTGCAGGGGGTCAGAGTTCTAATCTCCATTGGTAGATGAGGACATTAAGCTTTGCAGTTTTGTGAGAAATTTGTCAAAGGTGCTAATAAGTGGCATAGAGCTTAGCTTTTGAGGAGTTACACTGTCAAACTAAATTTTCAAACAGCAAATTCTCTTTTTCAAACAAATTATATAGACACAATATATAAAAAATATAGGTGGGGTGGTCCTAGTAGAAAAGTTATGGAAGACCTGAGCCCCGCCCTCTGGACTTCCCTTCGCCTGTGAAGCTGCCCAGCTGACTGAACACAGTTTAAAAACCACTGGGGAATGCTCAGAGAACTTTGGTATCAGACAGGTCCAGACTCAATTTCTAGTTTGGGCCTGATGTTTAACCTCTTATGTCTTAGGCTTGGTTCCTCATTTATAAAATGGGAATGCTTTTATAGGATTGCTGATAAATAGCAACTGAAAACCATGTGAAAACCTAGCACAGTGCCCTCTGCATTTCTGGAGCAGAGATCAGGTTGTCAGGCAGTATAGGTCATCCACTCACCCTGTGCAGGACTCCTGCTAAATTTGTAGGGAGCTCACTGCTGAGACTGGGCCTCTATAGAACTTATAACCCAGTACTTTGACTTGATGACCGAAGGTTCACACCTCACATTTATTAATAGTTTAGAACAGGAATGGGCAAAGATTTTCTGCAAAGGATCAGAGAGAAATATTTTAGGCTTTTTGGGCCATACAGTCTCTGGTGCAGCTACTCAGCTCTGCTGATGTAGCAGGTAAGCAGCCATAGATAATATGTAAAGGAATGAGGATTGCTTTGTGTTCTAATAAAACTTTATTTGTGGACATTGGAGTTTGAATTTCATAAAAATTTTACATATCATGAAATATTATGTTTCTTTTGATCCCCCCCCATTAAAAAATGTAAAACCCATCTTAGCTTATGGTATGTACATTGTACGTGGATAGTATAAAAAGAAGCCACGGGCTGGATTTGGCCCATGGACCATAGTCTGACTACTTCTGATTTAGACATTGCTTGATAACCAGTGTAGTTTTTGACCCTGTGAAGATTAACTTAATTAAAAAATGATTGCTATTAAGGAAGTATTGATACAGGAAAGGCTTAATTTCCACAATAGAAAAAGGTAACATTTTTTTTCTCCCTCTCTCAAGAATAGTTACATGTTCATTAGTTTCTTTACCCTCTATGAAGTGGTTAAAATGAAGTTATCCTTGTCTTGGTAATGACTAAATGAAAACGGTCTCTAAATAAAGACTGTGTAGTATAGTGGAAAGAACATGAGTCATGCAGGAGTCAGG